AACAAGACAAAAGCTATCTGGATAGGCTCAATGACAGGTAGAAATATAACTTTAGCCAATGACTTTTATCTTGACTGGCACAGTGGAGACTTTGAAATCTTAGGAATAACACTTAATGCTTCTCTGAAAGACCTTTGGGTAATTAACACAAGAAAACGCCTAGAACATGTTAATAGATTACTTGCTAGTTGGCGAAGAAGAAACCTGACTCTAATCGGGAAAATCACTGTTATCAAAACTCTAGCAATTTCTACTCTAGTACATATTTTCTCAGCACTTCCTAAGCCGCCAAAAACATTCATCGATGAACTCAATAAAATAATCTATAGATTCATATGGAATAATAAAAATGATAAGATTAAAAGGTCTAATATCAGTAGAACTTACGAAGATGGAGGCCTCAGAATGATTGACATTGAATGTTTCATTAACGCTTCGAAATTATCATCACTGAATTGTCACTTAAAGAAAACTTCAGATTTTAATAGCATTTTTCCCTTAAGTCAACTGTACTTTCTAGGTTCTAATGCTGTTGATTGCTTATCTGGCAAAGATAATCCCTATTGGAGAGATGTTTTATCTGCATGGAGAATATTTTATAAAAAAACACACCTTTGACAGCGATGACTTAGACTCTGCTTAAATCAATTAAACATTAATAGAGTTTACCTAGATATGATCTCAAATATTAAAGGTTCAAGGATATTCTATGATAAATTGATTAAGAACAACGATACCCCTAAAGTACTAGAGTATTGGAAAACTGTCTTTCAGCAGGATATAATGTGGAGTAATGTATTCAGATATTACAGGAAATGCACAAATGATTGTAAGCTGTTAGATTTTCAGTACAGATTTATTTACAGAATAATTTATACAAAGAAAGAACTATTGAAAATGAAGCTAGTTGATAATGATACTTGTACTTTTTGTAAAAATACCTCAGAAGACATATTGCATGTATTTTATTACTGTGATTTAGTTAAAAACGTTTGGCGAAATGTAGAACAATTTCTAAATGCCCACCTCCAGTGTGATGTCACATTTACAAAATTCACTATCATGATTGAAATGTTCTCAAACAATAAAATACTAAACCATATTATACTTCTTGCCAAAAGATTCATTTATGTTTCAAGTATAAAACAACAAACACTTTCCCTTGAGGGATTTCTTAAGTTATTAAAAGGTATATATACAACTGAAAAATATATAGCTAAGAAAAACAATAGCTTAGATCCCTTTATAAGGAAATGGAAACATTTATATACCTTACTATGTGCTAAACATTAAATTCTACTATATCAGCTGAGACCTCCAGACCCTACTCACTACAACCATACTATTCAACCTTACCCCTCCAATTTCATATTCCCTCCACAGAAACTTTAATGACATCTTATGTATCTATATAATTGTTGTAATCTCATGATGTTATATTTATATATATGTATACATGCGTGTATGTATGTGCATATGTATGTATATGTATATATGTATGTGTGCGCGTGTGTGTATATGTATGCAATACTGTCTTTTATGTCATATATAACCTTGCAAAACATCACTGAAGCTATATACATATATATTTGGATGTTGTCCTCTTTGCCATATGTATTTTATGTGAGACTTGAAATGGAATAAAAAAAACAAAAAAACAAAAAAACGTATTGCCCTGGCCAGCACGATCTCCAGATATGAATCCGATAGAGCATCTCTGGGATCATCTTGATAGACAGTAGAGACAACGGCAACCTCCACCAGCAGATCGACAGCAGATCGAACAAGTTCTCTTGGATCTGTGGCACAGAATTCCTGCTGACGTCATCCGGCGACTAACGTCATCCATGAGGAGACGTGTTTTGGCATGTATCGTTTCAAGAGGAAGTCACCCACGCTACTGAAGGCTTGGACAGTTCCATAATGTGACATGAAACACATCTTGTGAATGATCTGTAATTTGGTAACAGTTCATTTTGACCCCACGTCTCTTGTGCTTGATTCCGTGACCAGATTACTATCGATTGGACATTGGTGATTCTGTTTAATGCTTGGTAAATGGTTAAATTTTGTATAATAAACAATATTTCTATCATATATGTCTTGGTGTCTTCTTTATGAGCCACAACATCAAGTGATGTTTCTTTTGCCCATGAGTTTAGTTGTGGATCATCATTTGTGTGTCTATAGTAGGTGTATTCCATCTGATGGATTGACCAGTAGGGGGATAAGGTTGTGATAAGTCACGGATAATTAAGAAAAGTACCCGTGACGAGTACCAGTCGAAATGCCCCAGCTACAAAATGCCCCAGCAAATTTGATCAAATTGCCCCGGGAATGGTCAAAATGCCCCAGGGTTGGTCAAATTGCCCCAGGGTTGGTCAAATTGCCCCGGGGAGTTGGTCAAAATGCCCCGGGGATGGTCAAAATGCCCCGGGAATGGTCAAATTGCCCCGGGGTTGGTCAAAATGCCCCGGGGATGGTCAAATTGCCCCAATTTATTTGATATGATTAAATACATGCCATAAATGCATAGTTTTTGTCAACTTTAATATTATATTCTTCACATAAAAGTTATTAGGAAGTAATACTCCTGATAAATGTTCCATTAGTAAACTCATTAGAGCAAAAGGAATATTCCTGTACCAATACCAATTCCTGTAGATATTTGGTACTATAAACCCTAGGTAAGTTTATGCATATACAGAAACACACCCTAGCCAAAATCAGAATACGTATACGTACAGGGGCGGATATAAAAGGGGTGGCTAATAAAACGCACTTTTGGATCTATGTAATGGTGCAAATTACAGATGAATGACAAATATATATATGTAAATTAAAAGAGTAATTAAAACCGGGTACGTTTCTGTATACAAATCTGTGTATACACAAAACCGTTATAACACCTCAGCAGATTCCCTTTCGGTATGGACATAGCGAAACAAATACAAATAAATTGGAAAAATAACGCGATATGAAAAACGCGCGAAATCGGGAGTTCAAACGTTTCTATTTTCCCAGTGAAAAACAGCTGGGCTGCGCTCCGCGTCGTGCGCAATAAATTTCAAACTGGTGCTTGCAAAATATTTTTATATGTTATGACAGTAAATAAACTGTTTATATAATTTCATTTGTCTATTTCCCACCACACGTTCTTCTTACCGCACTTTCTCAGTTCTGATACTTTAAAAGCAATATTATTTAGCGTTGACACTACTGGAAACTCTCAACATCGTGTAATCTGCCTGCCTGTCTGCTAATGTCAATATTCAATACACAACTGCTTATGCAATGACATAGCTATACACCATAGAGATGAAGTTTGGTCTCTGTCACACCAGTGTGATACTTTGCACATGACATGTTATGCTTTGATTGCAAAATGTTATACGAGCATGTATTTACAAAACCCAACATCTCTATATATACACACATACAATGAGCTGAGACAGACAACACTTGTGTCTCGACTGCCCCGGCTGCTTCGTTTCTGAGGGAGGTGTACAAAATATTGCACTTTTGATTTTGCGATTATACGCATCAAGGCATTGTTTGTGACCTTTAACCTCCGACCTGACTCCACACTCAAAACACTTCCGGCAAGCTTCTCCAAAAATCACGAAACATAATTTTAAAACGACAAATGGGCTTATTCTACGATCGGCAACAAAATCACATTACATTACGCCTCATCAAAAGGGTATTATGAGCGCAGACAAGAACAAGGCGCCATTTAGTCAATAAAGTTTGTGGTGCTGTATTCTAAAATATTATTTTATTATATTTTGTCACCTTTTATCTAGTGTATGCGGCTTGAGAATACTGAAATTACATTTCCTGTTTTGTTTGGCATTTTATGTGAATATGATGTCTTGTAACAGCCAGAAATAGAAATTAGCTGTTCACACTTTTCTCCCAGGTCGGGTTGAATGGGTATGAGTCACTGTTCAAGGCTTTACATGGTCTGTTTTTTTATGATTGAAAAATACTAGATGGGTATGTAATTTATGAATGAAGTCAATGGTTTAAGAAGTCAGAGGCTTTACATGCGGTATTGATGTATTCTTGTCTGTTCATTAGGGGTTGCATCATAAATGCATGTCACGCCGAATACCCGGGTTCGATTCCCTCATGGGTACAATGTAGGAAGCCCATTTCTTGTGTCCCTTCCCGTGGTATTGCTGGAATATTGCTAAAAGTGGCGTAAATCTAAAACTCACTGCCTGTCCATTCTTGACAACTAAGATTGATTTCAAGGTGTCAGTGGGAGTCAGATCATGGTTGTCGTAAATATTGGTAGGTTTGTGTGATGTGCCTATCTATTCACACAATCATATCATCAAACTTTATGTAAACAGTACTGAAAGAAACTGATGAAAGAACTTTGAGAGTGACAGTGTGTGAGGCCAGAAGTAAGGAAACCATTAATAATCCGATGGTGTAATAGGAAAACAATTTCAGTGCTATTGCTGGTTTTACATCCTCGTGGTAATGTTGCTCTATATTGGAAAGGAAATAATCAAAACACTCTGCATGTATTATACACTACTAGACTAGTAGTTATGTAAGGCAACCATTTCTTTTAGATTTTCACTGTTTTCGAAATAATGGCTTATTAGACTTTCTCTGGACAAATGAAGTTTTGCTATCAAGTACCCAAAGGCACTGAGGGTTGTGTTCACCCAGTCTGATAATTTCAGAGTAATTGTTATGTAAAACAACCATTTCTCTTATGTTCTTGGAATAATGGATTAGTGGCTGCTTTCGTCTTCTCCACATGCCAATAAACAGTTCTCTTTTCAGATTTTCATATCCATTCTCTACTGCTCATTGTACTGTCATTCATTCACGTATACTAGTAATGTCGCCTTCCATATGTATAGTTTGAAATTACCCTTATTATAACTCTCCTTGTCATTCAATATTTTACTGTTCTGAATTCTGCATTTACATGTGTATAATTTAACATTGTATGATACAAAGATAAAACTCTAAATATGTCATTCAAACTGTACAGGAGGTAATTAAAAAAGAGTCTGGGGACTTCGATATCGGTGCAAATGCCAGTCAGGAAGAGGCAGCAGAAGAAGTAGAGGAGAGCGTTACAAGAGGCATTGACATTGTCCTCAACCAGCACCTGGAAGAATGCACTCATGATTATTCCGTGAAAGCTTTCAATTTATTCTTAAGGGACTACTGCAAAAGGTGGGTGTTTCTCTTTGAATTGGCAACTAAAATGTCTTTCGAGACCTGTGAAAATCGGGGTTGGTTTGGGTCTTCATCTAGCCATGCTAGTTGTGAGAGGGGATGAACAGGATGTCGTCTGCTTGGCAGACATGACATTGTATTCCAAATGCATAGATTTATGCTCATGCTGTTGCTCACTGGATTGTGTGGTCCACACTCGATTATTTACAGACCAGTGCCACCATATAGCTTGAATATTGCTTAGTGAGACATTGAAAAGCAAAGTGTTCCTCCTTGCATTTAATGTTTATGCTGATCTTCAGGGGGTGAGCACAGGCCCTTGTGTCTTTGCGAGGATTAAAGATTAAAAACATACCACTGCATGCAATCAATTTAAATGTAATGTAAACATATTCATGGATGATTGGCCTATCGATCACCACTCATGACGCCTACCAATTCTTTATTGTTATTTCTGCAAGTCGATTGAAAGCTAATTTTGACCCTAAACTAAACGATCTTGTCACAAATGGATTACAATAGGTCCGCACAAAATGGGTGTGTGGTCAAGCAAGCCCTCTGATTTGTCGACGCTTGTTAAGGAGACATTTACAGCTGATGCTTTCTTTTGAGAAGCCATTGCTGGAAAACAAATTCTTACATTTCTAAGTCGAGCAGTCTATGAAAGTAAAAATTCCCACAAAGTTATAAAGAATGTGCAGATTTACAAGCGTTGACCAATCAGAGGGCTTGCTTCGACCACACACCTGTTTTGTGCGGAAATATTCCTGCATGTGGTCCCCAAAAGCTCTACCAATGGAGGGTGCTACCTCCCCAAATCTCCCCTGACAACATTGTAGATGACGTCCCGTTGTGACACTGGTGATGGGACACAGGACCCTCTCCTATCTCACTGCTTGTGCCCACAGCCCCTGTAGATAAAATCCAGTGTAAAGCCAGGTGGTCATTCCACCCTGAAGTGCTATACTGTTAACGCTGGCATTTCCTGAATAACATAACAAGACTCTACAGCATTGTAGATTTTCCTTTACAGTACTTTCTTGTCCCGACTGAAAGACCATTACAATAGACGACATGTAGTTTGTAAATGTTGGCATGTGTATAAACTGTAAATGTAAATTGTGTAAAATGACTTCACTGACAGCTCATGTTTCAGAATTGTCAAGTCAATCATGGAATCAGACTTGAGTGATGAAGAGAAGAAAGCACAAACTACTTCTTTCAAGGAGGAGGCTGTGAAATTTACTACCATAGTGAAGCAGAATTTTGATGAGATCCAGTTCTTCAGATGTAAGATTCCTTTTAACTAAAATTTAAGCTCGCATGGATGAAAGTCTAGTTACATTATAGTTGTTCACTGGTCACGAGGGGACATGGGTTGATGTACCCTCTCTTTGTTCCCCGAGCCCAAAGGTCAAGGGGAACAAACAGAGGGTACATCAACCCATGGGCCCTGAGAGACCAGTGAGCGACGTACAGGTATTTATCTTACCGAACATCTTAATGTTAATTTTGAACTGTTTGAAGCACATGGTATCGGATCAGAATGAGGAGTACCAGAGTTAGGCATTTAGCCAATACCGACAACAACCAAAACACTACTAACACGAAGTACCAAATGAATTCCCTCAGTTCGACATTCCCAGCGGGTAACATAGAAAATGTTACTTCCTTGAAAGCTTGGTACATTGATTGGCTCAGCCAAACTGAAAACAACATGATTTATGTGTGAGGTAAGATATAGTGCCATGAGCTCTTTGACTGATGTCTGTCAGTGTTGGTGGATGTCTTGATCATGGAGAACATCCCAGGCGATTACAATGACTTCACACTTTCAATTGTTTTATACTTGCCTACATCTATGTTGCAACATTGTCATTTTAGAGCTTTTAATTTTCTTAGATCTTATCAAGTTTGCATCATCATCATGGCCTTGTAAATGCACAGGTGTATCTGAGACTGAAAATATGAGATATTAATCTATTTGACACTGAAGTTGGTTTGTGTATTCAACAGATTACTGTACATACTCTTATCTGTCAGATACTAATATATCTTACAACTTGCTGATTCAAAAAGTCTGAACATTTGTGTAGTAATCTGTGTAATTATGGTAGTGTGGTTCACCAGTCTGGAAGGTTTTCATTATGCCTGAAGTCTGACCTGAGAAGTGAATAGTAAACTTGAATTTGGATTGGCAAAATATGGTTTCCAATGTTTTATCAAAACTGAATACACCTCAGGGCCACTGCATTTTGAGACCTGTGAAGATCATGGTTAGAAATAATCTTCAGTAACCCATGCTTGTAACAGGATTGTTGGCTTGGTTTACATGTCATTGTAAACCAAAAGTCACTGTGTTCTTTAATCTGATTGGTTGAAAAACATGATTGAATGGTATTCGATTCCCGGAAATTCGCTGCGTATTAATACGTGCAAACATCACTCACACCATTGTATTGTTACGTCCTCAGCTGTGATGACGTCATTCAAATCAAATTGTGACGTAAAGTCTGAATGACGTCACAAATGAGCAGTTCCAGATGCTACCATGGGAAACAGCTGGCTGATGACATTTCACTGCTGTACCCGTGCTCGATGTCAATGAGTACAGAGACAAAAACGTGTGGACCATTTTGGTTTACTTTTGTGTTTACAATGTCGATAAACATGTGTTGGCCAATTTCCGGGTGTTATTGAGTATTTGAAGCACAGGAATATTTCATTTGAAACCTCCGGCTGACACCGTCGGTTCCAAATGGATTCCTGTGCTTCAAATACTCAATAACACCCGGAAATTGGCCAACACATAATGTTTATCTTTTAATTGTATCGCATTTGATGGTCGATGCTCATGCTGTTGATCACTAGATTGTTTGGTCCAGACTCCTTTGTTTACATGTCACTGGAATATTACTGAGTGTGGCATGGAACTAAACAGAACAAAAGCTGATCCTTTAGTTAACAATGTCACGTTAATGTCACACATTCACTTCAGTCCCACCCTTGTGGATGTGTTAACCATGTTAACCCATTCAACACTGTAGGCCGGAAAACCGGCCGAGACGTCACAAGTCCACAGACACCGTAGGCAGGTAAACCGGCCAGGCAGTAGTCGCATCAAAATTATCTATGATATGTAACTAACATATGATTCTTTTATCAAATCTATCACCTTTCACAATGTCTGAAAACACTTATTAAATTTCAAATGACCATATATTATCGACAGGATTAGCATTATAAACTATTTTTCACATTGTTATTGAGAAAAAAAAACAATTCTAGGACACACGCTTCGGCAAGGGTCCACAGCAAAGTTCTCAAAGACCAAAGTAACGATGTTTCGAGCAAATAATTAAATAAACTGGACAGTACTCATAAAAGTTGTCAAACGTACATTATAACTTGCTTATCTTTTTGAGCGATCGTGTAATGTAATTCAAGTGACATCTCGGCTTTCGTCGCCTCGAACTTCATGTTCGGACACTATGTTTAATGCTAAAATATATGCATGAAGCATTTTTGGCACAGGTCATAACCTAGCACCATACGTCCACTAAGTTCCATAATATACGTATAGGCGGTGACTTATTGCATAACACGTTCAGAATAGCGTGATTTTACCCACAAGTTTCGTCTGAATCATTAGTTTTCGTTTACGAGGACGGCATCCATTTCTGTAATATGATTGGCTGCCTTAGGTCACATGTACGATTTTGACCAATCACGATCCTTACAGCAGACTGTGGCAAAAAAGCGTTATTAGAAACCAATGTTTATCCAATAAAATCGCTTCTTACAACTGTGAAAATACTCTCGGCAAGGGTACAGTGATCTTGTTGATGTTCAGAGCTTTCAAAGGATACCCGCCATCAAACGAATCGCCTCACATGTTATTCATACAAAGCTTCCAAACCGAGGTATTTCCTGCTGTTGTATCACATAAGTGAGCGGAAAGTCACTGATATCGGGAAATAGACCACCATACATTATTTGAAAAATCTTTTTGAAAATCTTTTTCTGATTACGTAAAAATGTAGAAGAAAAAGGTAAGGGGATATTATGCCATGTTACAAGTGGAAAAAATTGTCGTATTTTCTTGCTCCCTTCGTGGTTTATCTGGACATACATTTTTAAGCTTGCATTTTCATTAAAAATTAAATTAATTACGTTGTAGTTGTAGATTTCATATTTATAAACTGTAGGATTAGACCTTTCAAATGGTGTATGATATGTAGTAGCAGTAATGTAGCTGATATTTTCCTTGATAAACATAGGCTCCATCTATGACCTCAGTCTCTGGGAACTCGGTGTCATGGCAGTAAACGCCTCTGGTTGACTGACAGGTGTTGAAAGAGTTAACTAACAGATCTAAGTCATCACACCACAACTAACAAATGTGACGAGGGATATTGTGTGTACTTTAACTAGTTATAATAGTTTTGTCAGGTGGGAAAAGGTATGAATTATTGTCAGAGGTCATACTTACATTGGATATACAGTAGTACCTCCTGTAACCATGGTTACCATCTCTGATAGCCATTTTGTCATCATTGATTAAATGGTCGCGCTTTTGATGGGACATTAAGATGACCAAGTGTATCATTTCAAATAATGTTTGAAATGAACTACTTCGTCAGATATGTTCAGAGGCTGACTTGGAAAAAGCATGATAGTTGATGGCTGTATAAAAAGGATATCCGATGGCCGTTGTATTATTATCCCCCACCATGAAGTGGGAGGGGGATATAGGTTTGAGCTCCGCCCGTCAGAGATAATGTGGACAGATGCACAGTATCCCCAAAGGGGACAGATTTTCTTAGAAACCAGTATAGATAGGGAAACCAACTGTGGCATGCAGTGTTCACGAATAGCGTCTGACCCTCTGACAAATCCGGCAGATTTGCCAACGTCCGATAGAAGTCTACAACCCGCCGGCCCCAGTGGCTGACTGTATATTTCACAATTACTTTGACTGAAGTTGTCATATGGGACATGTGACACCTATTTGCTATTTATAAATCTTATGTTTGTTTATATTTTAATTGCCAATTATAAGAAATGTTAAATCTGAAATGTGTGTTTAATTTTATTCTATGGGTCCTGTGAATTTTCAATGGGTCAGACAGACATCTGAAACTTACAGGACCCAATGTCCTGTTACTTTAAAACACCATTCGTGAACACTGGCATGTATTTTCAGGACACAAATACCTCAATGGAGTTTGAAGACAGAAACCATGTTATGATACTTTACAGAGTTATGGCCCTTGTCATGCATTTCTTGACTCAGTGCGTGGTATCCCCAATGGGGACAGATCTTCTCAGTAACCGTTATTGATAGGGAGACCAAATGTGGTATGTGTTTTCAGGAGATGAATGTCGTGAATGAGTTAAACAACAGGAACCAAATAGGAACAGAACACTGGCGGGGGATTTACTGACCACTGCCATATAGCAGGAATATCGCTGATTTTGTCCGTTAAACAATAAACAAAGAAAAAAGAAAGCAAATTACCTTAGACATGTCAGATTCACTATTCATTTCTTAATTTTATAGGGTTGTTTCAATGGTATATTTTGTTTATTTGCAGTCCCGATAGATTATGAAGACCCCAAAGACATCACTGGCTATGTTATTCCCCTTCATCGTGACAAGGACACAGATGCCATCACCATGTGGTTCTTCCGACGTGGACTCAAGGAAGAGAAATGTGTAAGTACATGCTACAACCTGCTGAGTGTCTGGGGACCTGGGGTAACCAAGTGGTTAAAGCATTCGCTCCTTGCACCGAGGACCCGGGTTCGATTCCCCAAATGGGTACAATGTGTGATGCCCATTTCTGATGTCGCCTGCCGTGATATTGCTGGAATATTGCTAAAAGCAGTATAAAACTACACTCGCTCACTCCCTGTTAAAGATCACATATACTTTAAGGGGTACAAATACATAAATCATTTATTGGCATCGTTATAAATGAATCCCCATCATTAAAACTACTCATATCGACACATAATTAACTTAAATCGACCTTTTTGACAACAGTGCACAATTGTCGCCTGTGAACGAAATTTCAACCAATCAGAGGGGCTCGTCTTCGTGGCGTGGCGTAATGTGAGGTATACATACGAGGGGCACTGTAGAATTCATGTATATTTCCGGGGGTAAATTATCTTGTTTACGGGTTTGTCTAAACCTGAAATCGTGACAATTGTTGTGAAAAACGAAAGCTTTGTTTTCACAATCTGTCATTTAATCTTGTCACCTGCTTTACCTAGCTTCAGAGCTACAGATAACTTTTTGGGTCATTGAGTTATGTACTCCCTTGTGTTCATCTCAATTGGGTATCCTAATTTTCCTTTGAGTAACCAAATAAATTGTACTCACCTCAATCAAACTCATTTGGGTATTTTGCCATTTTCCATTAATTTTAAAAATATAATATAGCTTATATAATAGTGTTTGTGATTTACCTTTGATATCTAATATGAGAAACGATAAGAAAGACTGCAATATGTCAAGCTCATGTCCTAAAATAGAGCCTCTCAATATGTCAGCTATTTTATCTATCTACCGGTACGCAAGCTACGACTTGACATTTTTGTGTGTACGCATGTAAGATCACATTTATTGAGTATTTACAAAACTTCAAGCGTACTTGTACGCAAAAGACTTAATGGGAATTGGGTCTTCACATAAATGTTTGCGTAATTTACGCAGATACGCAGCTTATCTGTACCTCTGTAGCTTCCAAGCTACAACTTGTTTTCATAGACGATTCTGTCAAAATCGCTTGTCATAACTGTTACCTGTTGGCTACCTCTGGCTTTTGTTACCCAATTTACTCAGGTATTAAACCATTTATGTCAAGTGATTTAGATATGGTTAATTCAGTGGGTTGGCATTTCGGTACAAAGCAGACTCTTACATGTCCGGAAGTAATTCAGACAGTGACAATCTTTCCCTTTCCATGGATTGCCAGTCCTCATGCAGTGACTGTTTATCGGATACCAATAAAGAAACAATCGCTAAGCCATATTTGTTTGAGCCAGACGCTAGTGATAGTGAAAACGATGATCAGCCTAGAAAGTACATTTTCTACAGGAAGATCAACTGGTATCTACATACTGGTGAGTGGATACGCCTGAACCTTCACGTGAATGAGCTAGCAATAAAAGTTATCACACAATATTGCCACTTCAACCCCACCTTGCTTCTCGACTGGAAGAAATCGCAACCTGTTGTATGTTACAAGTTGTTTGTCATGCAAAATCCTTTTGGTCATGATTCAAATTCAAATATAACATATTTAACTACTGAATATTATTGTAGAAAGTAGTTTTGATTTTCTAACCTAGCTTACAAGTACATGATTAACATTAAAGTGTTTATTCTCTCCATACTTCTGATTTGTATTCTTAGTAGATCAATGCTCATGTCATTCACTGAGTTGTCTGCACGAAACTGACATCCACATTGACAACATTGAAATTCTACAGTGTTTCCGTTCTCCGGTATATACCTGAAAAACGCCGGAAAAATTTGTTAGGGACCGGTAAATTGAAAGCCAGCCGGACACTGTGTCCGGTAAATAATCATGTATTAAAATAAAAAAAATCATGGGTAATCGAAATGACAGTCTTGGCTGTGCTTTCATGGTCGCAAAAATTGTTATGTTTTGGAACTACCCAGGCTAAAAATATCTTTAAAATGAGTACTTACAGTATGGTAATAGGATATGACCGGCAAATTTCATTCATGTCCGGTAAAATGTTTGGTCGCCGGACACAGTGTCCGATAAATAATTAAATCAGCGGAAACTCTGTTCTAGAACCAGGAATACCCACCAATGATAGCCATTTTGTGATTCTACTCTCACTCGGTGGTTTAGCATGGTTGGGGAGAAAATCTTGTGTGAACATTGTTGTAGACTTGTCTGTCCCAGCTGCAAGTTGTTGATGTTCCACAGACACTAATTGTTCAGGCTATCAATGAATGGTCTTTTAAATAGGGCTGCAACGATTCAGTTCGATTCATCAAAAATCAAATCTGACGCCTTAGTTTTGATTTTCAATAACCATTATCACTATTTCGATTTGATATTTGAATACCGATTTAAATTATTTCCGCACAGCCTGTACGTAACTTTGACTCCCAAATCAAGCAGTTTCGAGCGCTGATATAAGGCGAAATGTGATAGGTTGACGCCAGGCTAATTATAAAATGACATTTCAGGGGTGGAAATAACTTTAACATTGCTAGTGTACTCCGGTACAGTGGCATATGTAAAGTCACTTGCCCTGATAATTTTTCCAATATACCGACTGTTTTCTTGTTGATTTTTTAATAAATAAACAACGTAATTAACATTGGAAAGTCAACTGAACACCGGTACAGTGTGATATACAAATTTGCTTGCCCGACAGAAAATAAGACTGGACTCGGACGTCGGGCAATGGGCTATTTCCACCCCCTGCATTTGTTGTTAGTGACATCGCCAAGTTGACGATGGATTTCACAGTAAAAAATCTGATGTTTTTACTTGTATGAAGAATCGAATCAAAAATGATCAAATCGAGGGTCCAATATCGAATATTGAATCGAGATCTGGGTGAATCATTGCAGCCCTACTTTAATAAGCAATTTTGAAAGTCTGGTAGAATCAGGGATCAACTTAGAAGTTGTTCGCAATGTGTTTTCTCTGATGGCTGAACTACACAATTTGCATGTGATCTCTTGTCCTATATAGAGCAGTACTGAGTTACTTTATGTATAACAAGTTTATAACCTTCCAATGTAACTGTGCCCCCTTTGGGGGTTAGTGGTACAATAGGAACAGTGGGGGTACCTAGTGGTTAAAGGTGTTCTCGCATTTACGCAAAACCCGGCTCGAAGTAACATGGGCACAATGTGTTAAGTTTACATTTCTGGTGTCCCCTACCTGCGAAAGATCCGGGTGGAATAGGTCTTCAGCAACCCATGTGCTTGCCATAAAAGGCACTATCTTGTCATAAAAGGCTCAACGGAATCGGCAGGTGGTGGTTCGCTGACTTCATTGACCTATGTCATCGGTTCCCAATTGGCGCAGACGAATCATGCTGCACTGGATTGTCCTGGTCGAAGACTGATTATTTGAACAGCTATAGTATTAACTGACGGGCGTGAAGAGCTAAACTCACTCCTCACTCACCAATGTAACTGTGCTTGCTTGTTTGTGGTACAATATGTAGCCTAGTGGTTAAGGTGTTCGCCGTCGCCACGATCGCTCCATTTCTGCCCCGCCGTGTGCTGGAATATTGCTAAGCTTAGCGCGAAACTAAACTCAGTCACTCACTCATTTGTGGTACAATCAGTCTTCTCCATTATAAAATCATCAAAGTAAAGCAATGAAATTTACAATTTGCACCACCTGTGAAGATCCGGGTTAGAATTGGTTTTCAGTCACACATGCTTGTCGTAAAAAGCTGAGAGTGATGGGATCGGGTGGTCAGGCTCGCTGACTTAGTTGACACATGTCATTGTATCCCTATTGTGTAGATCGATGCTCATGCTGTTGATCACTGGATTGCCTGGTCTAGACACAATTATTAACAGACCGCTGCCATATAGCTGGACAATTGCTGAGTGTGGCGTAAAACTTAACTCACTACAATTTGCACCATTTTCATGCAACTAATACTCACAATCTCAAACTGGGTACTTTGTCTGTACCCTACTACCTCATTGTCTACAAGTAATGCTGTATCTGAGATGTGGGCTGTGTGGGTCAAGCAATTAGCTAAACTGGTGTCATACTAATCACTGGATAACACTTTTATTGCTGCTGAGAAATAAAGAAACTGCAGCGATGATATTGTTTTATTGGGATGTTAAACAACAAGCAGTATACCCACCAATGATAGCCATTTTGTGTTATTTATTCACTCAGTGGTTTAGCATGGTAGGGGAAAGTATTAGGTCAAACATCATTGCTTGTTGCTCTTTCTATGTAGCTTCAAGGTGATGTTTCACAGACATTGAACAGGTACTTTTCTATCCTTTGGGGCTCTATTTTTAGGATTTGATTTGTTTGCAGCATTGGACGACATAATCAGGGGTGGAAATAACTTTAAAATTGCTAATGTACTTCGGTACATTGGCACATGTAAAATCACTTGCCCTGATAATTTTTCCACTGTACTGTCCGTTTTCTTGTTGATTTTTTCAATAAACAGCATAATTAACATTGGAAAGTCAACTGGACGCTGGTACAGTGTGATACACAAATTTGCTTGCCCGACAAAAAATAACACTGGATTCGGACGTCGGGCAATGGGTTATTTCCACCAATGCATTTGTTAGTGACATCACCAAGTTGACGATGGATTTCACAGAAAATTATTTGATGTTTTTACTTGTATGAAGAATCGAATAAAAAATGATCAAATCGAGGGTCCAATATCGAAAATTGAATCGCGATCTGGGTGAATCATTGCAGCCCACTTTAATAAGCAATTTTGAAAGTCTGGTAGAATCAGGGATCAACTTAGAAGTTGTTCGCAATGTGTTTTCTCTGATGGTTGAAGTACACAATTTGCATCTGATCTCTTGTCCTATATAGAGCAATACTGAGTTACTTTATGTATAACAAGTTTATAACCTTCCAATGTAACTGTGCCCCCTTTGGGTGTTAGTGTACAATCAGTCTTCTCCATTATAAAATATCAAAGTAAAGCGATGAAATTTACAATTTGCACCACCTGTGAAGATCCGGGTTAGAATTGGTTTCAGTCACAGCTGGACTGCTTGTCGTCGCTTCCCAAAGGTGACTGATGGGAAAACAGTGTTTGTATTTTACACTCAGGCTCGGACTGGAAGCTTAGTTGACATCAGCAACATTCTGTGATCCCAAATATGTAGATCAAATGCTCATCGGTCAGGCTCACGCTGTTCATCATTGTATCCCTATTGTGTGATCACCTGGTCTAGACGCAATTATTAACATACCGCCGCCATATAGCTGGACAATTGCTGAGTGTGGCGTAAAACTAAACGCACTACAATTTGCACCATTTTCATGCAACTAATACTCTCAATCTCAAACTGGGTACTTTGTCTGTAACCTACTACCTCATTGTCTACAAGTAATGCTGTATCTGAGATGTGGGCTGTGTGGGTCAAGCAGTTGGTAAACTGGTGTCATACCAATCACTGGATAACACTTTTAATGCTGCTGAGAAATAAACTGCAGCTATGATATTGTTTTATTAGGGATGTTAAACAACAAACAGTATACCCACCAATGATAGCCATTTTGTGTTGTTTATTCACTCAGTGGTTTAGCATGGTAGGGGAAAGTATTAGGTCAAACATCATTGCTTGTTGCTCTTTGTATGTAGCTTACAAGGTGATGTTTCACAGACATTGATCAGGTGCCTATGGTTCTTTTCCTTATGTTTCAGTAACCAAGGACAGTGTTTAAATAAAGGAGCTCATCAATGGCCGCCCTGACAGAAGAGCTGCCATCAGACATTGGACATGCGAACACTTAAGCCCAACACAGTCGTCTGCTTTTATCTCTCATATCTTTTAGAAATCGCATGTGCCAAAATATAAGTCACTGAATATTTGTACAGATAATTTATTGTAAGGGATCTACATTTTTATGCTTTACGTATGCAAGCCTTGGCCGTGCATACATTTTGAACATCTTACATTGCAATCAGTATAACTTTTCACATTATGCGATTTCCAAAAGATGTCACAACGGGCAAGCTTTGGGAAGATCAATAAAGCTTAAAATGTTATGTTGTGTGAAGTTTTGGTGTAAACCTTATGCTGATGAGACCATGAGGATTCCAAGGGAGGATATGTGTCCCGAATACAGTTGTTACAGTCTGGAACTGTTTTATCTCATCTATCCGAGGCAAGGATTATTGCCACTTTCGCTTGTAGTTGTAACCACTGGCTACTTGTTCTTTCAGGGAACAAATCTAAAGAGACTGTCTTTGGTGGGACTTCAGGTTAGCTTTGTGGTTGAAGTTTCCCTTGTACCAAAAATCATTCCCCCGAATTAGTACAGAGTTTATGACTGTACTTTGACCTGAGATATATATTTTTTACAGTGATACAGATAGGCATGTGATTGAATATAGTCAACGCCTCGTCTTTATGTCTGTAATCATTTTGTCTGGAGCGTAAGTCAAGAACTGTTCAATGTCTTTCAACAGAAATTGGTAGATATGAGATAGATCCCATAGTGGTGCCTTTGCTATTTGCGGATTTTTGGCATTTTATTTTTTTCTGTTTCCATGGAAATGATATAGACTTAGTCTATAAAAATCAAGAACGTTAAGTAACTGTCAGATGATTTGTTCTTTCACATTTGTTGGAGAAGGGAAGATTTGTCAACTTCAGATGACTCGTTTAATTTGTGGTATTTTTCACTAAATTTACTGGTGCGCACAGGTTTTTTTGTGTGTTTTTTTCTCATTTAAGATGAACTCCCAGTATGAGGCACCAGAAATCAAGTGCAGTCTAGTTCGGAACCTGTGATTTTGAGTTTGAATCTTTGTTTCCTGGTTTGTAGCACCATGCCTATGCTTGTTGCTTTCTCCATAGTGTTATGCGCCTGAGACCTGCTTCTCTTTGAGCTTTCGCCCTCATTAAGCTGACACGCCTTGTTTTAACTTAAATACTGTTCAAATCAGGGTTAAATCCTACTCTTTGAGTGATTTGATTATTAACAAAACGGAAGCTGTAATATTCATGCCTGGAAGTGAACATTCTGCATCTGATCACAATATAAAAATATGCCATTATGAAAACTTCCATTTTGTATGTAGTCTTGTCAAACAGTTAAAGAAAAGATAAATAAAATGCCACTCATCAACTGAAACGGAATAGACTGTTTTCCACGTCTGGTTTAAATGAGTGGGAATGGTTTCAGTTCCACTTCGCAGCTTTGTTCACAGCAGAATGGTTAACTGCATGGCCACACCTGAGGGATATTTGGATGTACCAGTAAATCTTTAGTCCATTTGATCTTTCTGTGAAGAAAATTGGAAATACATATTGATTTAATCCCAAATCTTTTGGTTTGTGTTGTATACTTGAAGTCTGTTAAAGATGTTGAGTGTATTAAGACGTCCACAATCACATCATTTAGGGGTTTTGTTTACATTTGACCTGTGTGCAAAACTTGAGTATGGTTTAAGGCCACTTTCAGCAATATCACGGAGGGGCACACCAGAAACTGGCTTCACTCATTGAACCTGTGTGGGGGATGAAACCTGGGTCTTTGGCGTGATGAGCCAACGCAGTGGGATAGCCTAGTGGTTAAAGCGTTTGCTCGTCACGCCGAAGAGCCGGGTTCGATTCCCCACATGGGTAAAATGTGTCAAGCCCATTTCAGGTGTCCCCCAGAGTGATATTGCTGGTATATTGCTAAAAGCGGTCTTAAACTAAACTCACTCACTTTTCAGGTACCAAAGGTCGGTGGGTTAGCCAAGTAGTTAAAACGTTCGCCTGTCACGCCCGGGTTCAGGTTCTCATTTTGAGGTACATTTGAGCATGCTCTTTTATTCGACTAAGAAGTTATTCGATCAAAGTGTATCGGCCGCAAAGATGATGTCAGAAGCAATTCCCTACTTCGACTTGTGCCATACGTTCCGAATTGATTCAGGTGAACATTTGACTAGCCTTCGTTTTGGTCACGATTGGTGCCAGTGGTGGGGCAAGATAGGCTCATCTTTTTACATGTTATTCTGTTTTCTTTCTTTTTTTGAGTGATTTATAAACACATGCTCAAGCCAGTCACTTTTTAGATTAGGTCATGCACTGTTCAAACACGTATTAAATGAATTTTCATGAATTGTCAACAGGAAACAGGAAAGTCTCACTTTGTTAAAGGGGAATTTTAATTTGGATTGGGTCATGCACTGTTCAAACCGTGACGGTCCATTAAATATTGATCTTCAGTAACCCATGCTTGTCGTAAGAGGCGACTAACGGTATCGGGTTGTCAGGCTCACTCACTTGGTTGACACATGTCATCGGTTCCAAATTGCTCAGATCGATGTTCATGCTGTTGATCACAGGGTTGCCTGCTCCAGACTCGATTATTTACAGACCGCCGCCATATAGCCGGAATATTGCAGAGTGCGGCGTAAAACTAAACTCACTCACTCATGCCCGGGTTCGATCCCCAACATTGGTATAACATGTGAAGCCATTCTACCAACCAGTCACATGCCGAAGGTCACATGAGATGGCAAGTGCATATACGCTAGTCAGAGCACTCGCGACTCGCGCTATGGTCAGACGCTTTTTGAGCGAGCTGGTATTTGGATGAAAAAAACCTGAGGTGACTTTATATTTGATTCAAATAATCACGTATTTGAAGCGAGCATATTTATGACCCGAGGTGTCATAACAAAACTTGAATCTTGGAAGAATCGTGTAGATTCAGAGAAAGTATTTCGTTTGAAATCGGATTCATGACCATGGCTGACGCCATGCTCTCGTCCCCACGTGGGAAGAAAAGCGCCAAATCTGACGAGAAATCGAAGAGCCTTGAGAGGCGTTCACCTCAAAACAATCTAAAGACGATTCACTCCCCGTGTCACTTGACACGACAATGATGGCCATGTCGGAAATGAATAAAATGAACTCTGGTCTGAGCCAGCTCAGTGGTAACATGGAAAATAATTTCACTAAACTGAGTGAGGGACTTTATAACAACAACTGTCGTGACGAAGTTGAATATTATGATGATGATGATGATGATGATGATGGTTATGGTCTAGATTCGGGACAAGTACCTGTCAACTCTTCCACGCAAGACCCTTTTTACTGCTTCCTTGACAAACACAATGATGATGTTGATTCCAACAAAATGTGCAGTGGAAATAGTGATACTAATGGCATTGACCAGCTTTCTGAAAGAAAGTCTGGGTTTAGCTGCAGAGAAAGGGGATACAGTACAACCAGAAATTATTGAGAATTTAAGATTGTAATTTTTAAAAAAAAATTTCACTCATTACTCGCGTATTAAATGTGAATATTAGCAGAACATAACTCCAGATTCAAAGACAGGTGAACAGTTAGTATTTTGTCAAGTCACCATGGGCAGCAATGCAGGCTTCAATGCGGCGGAGCATACAACTGATCAAAGAAGTTAGAAAGTCGTGGTCCATGCTGTCCCAATATCGGACCACCTCTTCTTTCATTTCAGCAATATTTGCCAGATTTTTCCTATTGACACTTACCTTCATCAGTCCCTGAACACTTTCTATTGGATTTAGGTCAGGGCTATAGCTTAGCCAATCTAATAATGTCATATTTTGGGTCCGAAACCAGGCCTGTGAATGCTTTGAACGATGTTTTGGGTCGTTGTCCTGCTGGAAAATCCAAAAATTTCCATAGAACACGTGAGCAGATGGAAGTAAATGTCCCTCGAGAATATCTGTGTACCGCTCGCTGTTCATATTCCCTTCAAATACACAGAGGGGCGTTGCCCCTAACACAGATATGCCACCCCACACGTTAAATTTCGGACTGTACTTTGGCGCTGATACAAAGGTTTTTCAGTTTGTTTGAACCAGAATTTTAGTGTATTAGGAAACAGCCACACAGAACTTTCATCTGAGAAAATCACATTGTCCCACTTAAAAGTTTTATGCTGTAAGCACCATTACAACCTTCGATCCTTTTGTTCAGGTTTCATGATCGGTGATGGAATTCCTCGACTTTTCTGCCAACCCATTGCATGCAGCTCAGTTCTAATTGTTTCCTTACAGACAGCCACAGTTCCTCTATCAATCATATCCAGCCTTAAGTTTTCTAAACTCCTTCTTTTGTTTTTAGAAACAAGAAAATACCAAACCGCCTCTTGTCACCGACAGTCAATTTTCTGGGCCTCCCTGGTGCTCAATGTCATACCATATGTCGTCTGGTAGCAAGTAAACAAAGGGGGATAACTCTTCACAAACTTATGAAAAAGGATTAACGGAGTTGTCTCTCTTGAATGAAACCAAGCACTTGATAGCTGGTCAAGGTTGTTTATACTAGAAATCCAATTAAACATATTCCTAAAATTCTCAATAATTTCTGGTCATACTATAATATCCCAGAATACCGTATTGACATTGTGTCCTCTTTATTTGATCTGCAACCGAACAAGGAAGTCAAAAATGAATCTACCGTGAATGAGCGAATGAAAACTTACCTGAAGCCGGCGAATTGCCCGCAACTGCAAGTTCCTGAACTCAATAAACTGATATGGGACAATGTTTCGGGCCACGCACGTGCTGCGGTTGACAAAAAAATGAAGAAAATTACAAAATGGTGTTATCAAAAGTTCGACGGCTACGGTCCGCGCGATGGAATTGCTGTTTACAAACAAATCAGAGCTTCCTAAACCCCACTTCGAGAAGATGCTTACCTTACTCGGGGACGTGTTGAACATTATGGGATATACCAACTTACAGTTCAGAAACGCAAAGAGTTTTTGTGATTTGACATTGCGGCGGATTATACAGGGCTTTGCAAGTTTGCTCGCCCGCATCATGCAGCACACCCGAACTACTGTTTGGTGACGAAGCTGTGAAAAATCTCAAAGATCTCGGTATCGCACATCGTCTTGGTGTCAGAGCCGGAAGATTTCCGAGAAGACGTTGGACCCGTACGTGGTTTCAATCGCAATCGACCCTATAACTTCGGTTTTCGGGGACGAGGTAGAGGATTTAGACGGCTACAGAGCTATGACAGTTTCCCTCAGGACGCCTCCCAGACAAACTCCTTTTTA